TAAGAAAACGAGCGCGTGAACTTTGGCGTTTATTTTTACCTTTTTTAAAAGGTAATTTTATTAGGATATCACTCATTTCTTTAGTAACAAATAGTATTTATTATTTAGCATATTTGAAACATTTTATTTTACTATTAGGCTTTATATATATTAGAAAAAACAATCAATATTCAATTATTATTTTTTAATAATCTTTTTTAAAAAAAATATATACATTTTTGTTCCTCTAGGTCATTTTTTCTTGTTAATTTGCATATCATCAATGTTATCCATCCATTAGACGTTTCATCTCTACATATACTTATATAATGACCATTTTCAATAGATCCATGATGAAAAATGGCATTCATTACTTTATAAAATTATTCCCCTACTGATATTGTAGTTGTTGGTACTGCACGCAAATTAAATTGATTTATTTTTATTAATTTACCATTTTGTTCTGAAAATAATTATAAATAAATGATAAGTATTTCTCGTGTTAATGTTAATTCTTTTTTAAATATTGTATCTTTCTCTGTATAATTTTTACATAGGTCATGAGAGTGATATCACTTCGAAGAAATAATATTTAATAAATTATTAAGATCATAACTTCTTCGTCTTTCTTTAAATTAGTAATAGGAATTGAAATAAGAATATTATCATTAGTAATAACAATTGTATTATCGCAAGTAGTTTTGCATAGTGGAACGTATTTGATTTTGCTTAACTAGATTTTTAATATAATCATATTTTTCACAGATAGCTATGAGAAATCAGATGCATCTTGTTTTATGCAGCTAGAAAAATTACCTCCTAAATCTTGTCGTACTGTAAATGTATTCAAATCAGATATTCCGTTTTCACATCGATTCATTAATATACCTAAAACATTTAATTTATCACACTCAAAAATTTGCTTTCTAATAAATTTAAATGCAAAAGACATCGCAAAACTGCATTTGCGTAAGATAAAACTTTATTTTGAAATCCATGTATTACTCAAGCAGTATTTTTTTTTAACCGTTTCATATGATTCTTGAACAGAAGAAATAACTTTTGGTAATGTCCATAAAATATCTTTTATTTTAGTATATTTTTGTTTTGAAATAGTAATCAATTTCGCTTCTGATTTATATGTTTGTTTTAATCGATTATATTCAATAATTACATCTTTATTAGCTTTTATAGATGAGGGATCGTAATTAATTAAATACAAACCTTCTCTAGATGTTACTCGTGACAAAGCAACATAAACTTGTCTTGCATTAAATACAGAATTACCAATGTCCATAATAGCATTTTGTAAACTTAATCCTTGGCTTTTATGAATAGTGATTCCATAACTTAATGATAATAGAAAATGTTTTCTGATAAAGTAAGCTCTATTCATTACTTGAAATTTAATGCTGACTCTTTCAATCAAGTATTCTAACCTATAGGTAATAAAAATTTGATCTTTTCTACATATTTAGTATTTATATCTTGAACAATTGATATTACTTTCGCAATTGTACCATTTACCAATCCCAAACTAGCATCAATATTACGTCTTATCATTACTTTTGCTCCAATCTTAATAATAATTTGTTTCGAAAGTCCAATTGTTCTAGTATCACCTTCATCACCTTTTCGATAATATTTTCAATACTTTTTTTTATGTATGGAATACAATTTATCATGTCTTCAGCAATTAATAATACTTCTTTTGAATTAACACGATTCAACATTGCAGTGTTTAAAATATCACATATATGACAAGTAGGAAGTAAACACACAGTGTCAATTGGTAAATTGATAATAAAATTACACATTTCATCCAATCTTGAATTAAAAGAAGTATTCGTAAAAGATATTTTTCTTTTTTGAGGAATCTCGTGATCTGAATATTTGTCAATAAACCAATACGAATACGCGGTAACAATTCACGATAAGCCATATCTCCTTGTTGTCGTATATTAATTGTTAATTCATCATATTCAAATAATGTAGTCTACAAATTAATTTCTTAAAGTCCAATATATTTGTAACGACACCCGACTCACCCCCCGCTCATTGTTTAAAATAATATTAAGCGTCCTCGACCGATCAACCGTCGGGGCATCGACACGGCGATCTTTCCACGATCCCACTGTCGTAAAATCACGTTGAATATCAGACGAAGCAAAACGGAGATCACACGGCTGCACGTGCGCAGAGCGTGAATAAACACGCACCGGTTAGGCCACAGCCGCCGGCCCCGCTGCCGATCGCGCCACCGAACATCTTCGCGGAATAATCGAGCGCGTTCGGCGAATTATCGCGAATATTTTGGCGAGAGCATCCCCCGGAACTACTCCGACCCGAATTCGGCCGATCCGTACCCGACTACTCCCGACCGACGGCCGACTCGGGTATATTAAGCGACTCCGGTGGATCGCGACCTATCACCGGCGAGACAGTAAGACGTCCAGTATTGCTCTCGATATTTCCAGTCCTGTCCAACACAAAGCGATCTAGGGTGCTTTCTATCGCGCCAAGGGCTTCATGAAAGCCGATCGCTCTTTTCATCCACAGCGCACAAGCTTTATCACAGATTGAGGGACTTCTCAAATCTGGGCTCTAAAAGCAAGCCCTTGTGCGCACCTTCCGCCGCTGACAATCAAGAAGCAGGGAGTTTCCTGCATTCCAAAAACCACAGCACAAAAAGACGGACAGTACGCATGATGAAACGCACGAACAGCTGATCCGTCATAACAAGCGCGCCGAAGACCCCTCGCACCCGCGCCGCGCCTACCGTGAACGCACCGAATTCACGCAATCGACCGCGAGCTGAATCTATTGTACGATTCTCGGAACCCGCGTCGCTTTTCACGAAACCGAAGGCGAAATTCCGGGACAAATACTTGTAAATATTGTACATACCAAAACTCAGTCAATAAAACTGTAAATACATGAAGTTAGCACTTAGACTTTGGTATATAAAATCAAAAAGGCTCTCGATATTTTATTTCTCTTCAATAATCCTGATCATATCCGATCGACGCTATCCCGCGAAACACATCTTACCCGAGACGTTTTATATTTATCAATTTTTTTCTTTCAATAAATGAACAAAAACAAAATCTTCGTGTACAGGAGGTAATTGAAGAAGATTTGCAAATAAAAGAATATGTTTTCTATCATTACATTCAGTAGTGTCATATATTT